AGAAACCCTCGGTCTACTCTGACAATGGATGTTAATAAGTCGTGATTAGTTAATGAAAAATTAATAATTAATTAATCAACACTAACGTCGGATTCGAGATCCTCGACCCCAACTACCCTTCGGTCAGCCCTTACTCAGCAACGAAGAAAATTTTCATTGCTTAATTAGTTAATTAGAATTTCGAGAAACTAATCTCAGATCCGAGATCCTCGACCCCGACTACCCTTCGGTCAACCCCTATAGAAAAAATTTCTTTTTGCAAAAAAGTGAGCCGCTGTCTGCAAAAACAAGACAGATAGTTTGTACGGAAAAGTAATACCGGATTCGTGATCCTCGACCTTGATTACATCAGGTGAATCATTTCCGTATGGTCATCTCTCAGGTTTTATCGGTTTATAAAAAGCTGCAACCTGATTGGATTGGGCAAACTCACAAACTTTTAGCTTTTGAGCCACCGATTTTAGAAGGCTATAACCCTTTCTTTCAGAAAAGGGAATAATAACGATAATTCATATTACAAATCATGTTCTGAAAAAAATGACAAATAGATTATGAATGAAAATCTATGAGATTGTTTTATTCAAAAATGAAAACCGAGGTGGAAAATAATCTTCATCAGTGTGAAGCTAGCACGAAGGAGCTAGCACGAAGAAACTGTGTGTAAGCTAAAAACTTTTTTCCAGAGTTTGCCCGGCCCATAAAACCTAGTCCATTCGATTCAGAATTTAATTCTGCATCGAATGGTAGTAGTTTTATTCACTGGACAAACTTCGGAAAAAAATTATCGGAAACATAAATAGACCTATATGAGGCAAACAAAGATGTGCTTAAACTTTTTTCCGAAGTTTGTCCGGTGAATAAAACTACTACCATTCGATTCAGAATTTAATTCTGAATCGAATGGACTAGGTTTTATGGACCGGACAAACTCTAGAAAAAATTTTTTAGCTTACACACAGTTTCTTCGTGCTAGCTTCACACTGATGCCATTTGCTTGTGTTAAGTGTTGCAGCAAGTCGTGTACGTTACGGAACAAGCGTAACATTTATGATAGTTTATCCAACTGATGTGAAACGAGTTTTACCCAAAACAATTCCGTCTGATCCAATTTTTCCAAATAAATTAAGTTTATGGTGCATCTTTAGTGATGGGTCGGTGACACCAGCTTATGATTACGATCAGAACTATGGAAATGATCGTGTTTCGCTTTTAGATTGTCCAC